GGGCAGTCATTTTTCTCTTAGTATGTTTCCTTATTCATTTTTTTGAGATAATTTTTGCAAAGTTGAATTTTAAGTACTAACACTTGCTGTGCTACCAAATCCTTTATCAGTATGTGTAGTGTTCCTGAAATTTTGTGCCTAGCTGATAAATGTTCATATTTCTTTACTGACTTAAACAGACCTAGACTACTTGCCTTATTGTGAGATCTTCTGGACTATGGGTCCTTAGGATAAAGTTGGACTATTGGTCTAGAATCTGTATCATGATGATGTGAAATGGAGAGGGGGGGAGTCCTACCACTTGAGAGCATGCATAGTTATTTCCAAAGTTTATGTAGACTACCACATATATTGCCCAGATTGTGACATGTATTTGGACGGGAAGTCCCCAGAAAGAGTTCATCAGTATATGCATCTTTGATAAGTACTGCAGATGGTTAATGAGCTATGCCTTGAAATGAGTAGGAAGAGGCTGGATTGTGTTTGGGAAGTTGAATAGTTCCTTTCTTTTTCTTTCTTTCTTTCTTTTTTTTTTTTTTGGTTAGGCAATTGGGGTTAAGTGACTTGTCCAGAGTCACAGGGTTAGTGAGTGTTATGTGTCTGAGGCAGATTTGAACTCAGGTCCTCCTGACTCCAGGGCTGGTGCTCTATTCAGTGCATCACCTAGCTGCCCCAAAAGTCCAATTTTTAATATCAACATTCTCCTAGTGATCCCTTGTCACTGCACACTAAAATCCCAGAAGAATAAAATTTACAAATAATAACATAAGAGCAATTAAAAGATGAATGATGGGTGTAGTCAGGCTGCAATCTACTACCAATGATGATTCAAATGCAAAAAGTAATATAAGATATTATTGATGACACAGACACATAGAAAAAAAGGTAGGCTGATCATGTAACAATGAGAGAGATAACTTCCCATTTATTGGTACTTCTGAGATATTAATAGAACAAGAAAGTGGCCTCATCTTCTAAGGACTTTTGGGAAAACATGGGTAAGGACCATACTCTATATTAATGGAAGCAGTACTCACACCATTGAAATGATGGTTCTTTCAAAGTACCATCAAAAACCAATCACTTTAGGGGCAGCTAGGTGAAACAGAGGATAGAGCATTGGTCCTGGAGTCAGGAGGACCGGAGTTCAAATCTGCCCTCAGACACTTGACATTTACTAGCCGTGTGACCCTGGGCAAATCACTTAACCCTGATTGCCTCACAAAAAAACAAAAACAAGAAAACAACAACAACAAAAAACCCCAGTCACCATGGTACACTGAGCATTGAGATAACTGGGATAAAACAAGGATGCCTTTATTGTGGGTTTTATTCTGTGATATTTCCATGTAGACTACTACCTTTAAGGCTATATTTAAAAAAATCTTAACACTTGAGGGTAATGTTCTCTGAGATCAGTGTATACTAGTACCTCAAAAAATTACACATATACCAGAGTAATGTCAGGCCAAGGGTATGTGGTCCAAAGTGGAAATGGTACAATAATAATAATAATAATAATAATAATAATAATAATATATCTCCTGAGTTAACTTTGACTCTCCCTTCCTTGAGGTCCCCAGGGATCATTGGTGGAGGAAATTGCTTTGGTTGCTGTTGGGTCGAAAGGAGCCCAGGGTATGACTGCTATATGAAATGACTGCCTTGGAATGGGACGACCTTGTTTTGATGGTGTACCAGGCACCGTTGATAACATCACTTTGTTCTGAAGAGGACTTTCTCAGGAATGGTCTATACTCTCCAACTTTACCAAGGATAGTTTCATCAGTTTGGTTTCTGCTGTTGTGTGTCAGAAACATAGAACCTCGCTTGGCAACTGTCAGACATTAACATTCCCTGTACTATTTTGCAACCACATAGGGATGAGACCCAGGATTTAATGATTTGTTAGCACTTGGGGGACTATAGTCTGCCAGGATCTCATTTACCAATGACCTTTTACACCTACCACAGCTGTCATCAACAAGCCGTGGACTTATTTTAGGCCAAGTCAAGGATTAAACCAAGGGAGAATGGATTATAGCTTTCTTGTGCCTTTTCATAGAGAGCTTGTTGGGATTTTTTTTTTGGCTTCCAAGTTCAGAAATCTTATTAAAATTGTTATGAAAAAAACATTTTATTGAACATTCAGTCTGCTTCAAAATGGAAGGATTTTTTTCATTTACAACTTTTTCCAATCTGTTTGACTTGTGTGTTTTCAAAACCAGCACCAAAAAAGCAAAATAAAAATACCACTGATACAGTACATAATGTAAGTTAACTAATGAAAAAAAATATACATTTGACTCTGTAATGAACAATTAAATGATATTATTGCCATTGAGGATATATCCCTGTATTATAATAAAATATCAAGCAATAACCAACTGCTAGGATTTCTTTTTCACCAATAAAAATAGCACCATATGTAAGATAGTGAGACTCTATACTCAGTACACATCTGTGCAACTAAAAATGTACAGTACTTTAGTAACAGTACGGTGTATTGTTTACAATATGGAAATAGCACTGTTGTAATCACAGAACATCAGTTTCTAAGGAAGAAAGCAAAACCCCAAAGTATCAGAATAGCTACAATGAAATTATCTCTTCTGAATTGCTATGAAGTAAAATGAAGAGAGGGCAAATTGGGAAAGTTCATGGTGACATTTTTTGGTTTCATTAAAACTCCTAGGAAACAATAAGGCAAAAGTAGTGGAGAATTTAATAAAATTAGACATTTGCATTGATAGTTTGTTGGTCTTTTGTAGAGTGGCACGGAGTTGACATTGGCAGGGCAGCTATGAAAAAAAAATTAGAAGCAAATTTTCAGAGTGTTGCTTAAGTGGTTTTCCTGCTTTTCTACATGGGTACATCAATGGCACCACTTTGCTTTTGTTGGCCAAAGCTGAATGTTTAGGTCAACCAGAAATACTTCTGGGTTCAGATTTTAGTAACTGTCTTTGAAAACTTGGCTTCATTCAGTAAGATTTCTGCCTCTCACCTTCAGGTAGTTAATTTAGTGTTATTGCTTAGTTGTGAAATAAAACAAAGCCCCTACATTTATTTTTATGTGAACAAATGGAACACCAGTGAAGAGCAATGATAAAAATCAAGGCCCAACTTTTTCCAGAATTTAATTGGATATTTTGTGAAAATAAGGGCCTGGAAGTAGGGGTAGGGAGAAATCAATAAAAATATTATAGCTTTACCCTGAACAATGAAAGAACAAAATGTTTTCAAAGTGGTGTCAAGGAAAATGTTGGCATTTTATACCAAAGATTATACTATATCATGTCCTGACATATTCCCTAATTAATGTTTTTTCCATAGAGCACCTATGGTGGATGCAAAACATCTTGTTTATACAAGTGGAAATGAATTCATTCTCAGACTTCCCTAGTACTTTTCCATATCTGTGGTATTAAAAAAAAAACACCCAACCCTTGCAAAAAACAAAAACCCGCAAACACACTCATTCACACACAAAACAAAAATACCCCACAAAAGGTGGGAGAAGGTAGAGAGGTTTTTTTTTCCTCTTCTGATGTACAATAGCACATTTAAAAAACTTGAAGTTGCTGCATCAGAAAGAAAAAAAAACAAATGGAGCACCATTAAATCAGTAATAATTCATGTGGTAGAATCATTGTGATGACTACTTAGTAATTAGACCCAAGTGAGATCATCTGTCTGAAGTAAGGTAGGAGAAGGTTGCTTTCTCATGGTAACATTTTCAAATATAAGCACCAATGAAATGCCCACAGAATCTGCGAGCAAAATATGCCTTGTTTCTACGACAGTTACAGATACCAAGGACTACCTGTATTACAACCAGTAACTAGCATTGCCTTACTGAGGCAGGATTGGAAAATGGTTTCCAGTTCGTGTGCACAGGCTGGTTTCACAGGTGCCATTAAAGTAAGTGTTAACTAGTCATTTCCCTGTGCTTCTGGATATTGGTAGGCTCTAACTCAGGAAGGAAAAAAAGTCTTGATATTTTTTTCTTTTGCAATTAAGAGCCTCTCACCAATGTCACATATAAATAGCAAAAAACAACAACAAAAAAAATAAGCTGATAACATAAGGCCCAGAGCAGAGTGAAGGTTTGAAATCCACTCTAAAAGCTTTGCTATGTGTCATAAATGATTTAACTCTATTTATTGCTTTGTTCATTGTAGATCATATGTAAAGGAGATTAACAAAATCCATAGTGAAAAGGGCCAGAATTATGGATCTGGGCATATGCTGCAAGTCCTATAGACTGAGCTTAAGTTTCTATTTTCAGACATATGAAGGTATGATATTGTTCAAAAAGCACTTTTTGGTGACTCTGAAAATAGCTGTGTTCTGTCACTACTGAATAATGTGAAATATTCAGATATAGACTAAGTTAGATATATTTGCATTGGAAAAACATTTGTGAAGGACAGGCTTGCAGAAATCAGAGAAGGAAAAGATCTGATGGGTCAACGATTCATCTTTACACCTCTGCCAAAGTTGTTCCAAGCTCACTTGCATGATATGTACCAATTACATTAATTTCACAGTACCCTGAAGAAATATTGTCCTGTTTTTGCTACAGTATTTTTCACCCCTTAAGAGGTGGCAAGTAGAGATCAGAACAACTAAAACACCTTAGAACCCATTATCTCCCTGGGCACTCTTTCCCAAAGAAAGTGGTTGTACTGAATGAATGTCCTCTTGCTGTTATTTATCAGGTTACATGAACTTAAGCTTTTGCAGAGGCAAGGCAGCAAAGATGAAATCAAAATTTAAAAAAGAGATTATGGTTTTAGATGTGGTCAGTACAGCAAAGTCCTGAATCTTCAGTTTTTAAGAATTTAAATTAGAAGGAAGGGTAAGATTCTGTTACACTACTCTTTTTCACTCACGTATCATATGCCCTCAATTTTCACAGGTTTTTTTTTTTCTTAATAGTAAGACTTCTTTTTAAATTAAGCATTTCATTTACATGATTCCTTCTTCTTCCACCCACCTCCTGGTATATTAACCCCTGGGAATTCAAAATACCAAAGGACAGCCAAGACTCAAGAGCTAAATAACGTCTCTACCTTTATGAAGTTATTGGCCAGAGGTTTTCCCCTTAGAGGAACATACAACCTTAGAGACTATAATTACTTAGTGACTTTTTGTCCTTTTTTTTTCCTACTGTAAAAAACCATCCAGTGGCTATTAATAATATATTAAGTAAAAAGCTTAATGACAAATGTGATGATGCCCAATCCACAATTAAATTTTGTGTAATAATTCTTGAGATGACCGTGTCATGTGTGTGAGGGATGGATAGCTTTGGTATAACCAATCTATGGAATTGCTTTCACCTTAATTGTATATGCTTTGGAATCCACCCCTCCCTCAGTCATTATTAAGTTCCAGTACTCAGACCTACAAGTCCTTGAATTCCATAATTGGGTGGCATTGTTCAGTCTAGTCAGGAGAGAAGTGTCATTAACTCTTCTGCTGCATCTTGTTGGCGTAAAAGTCTCTGCATGTCTGGCAGCAGCGCTGGTACCACCTCATGTCCTGGCACAGGTTCTTTTCCCGGATCACCCTGCAGTATACTGTCCACTGGTCCCCTGTGCACTTGTATGTCAGAGCAGCTTTGGATAAGAACAGGGAGAGAGAAATTCAGGACATTTAGAAAGGCATGGAAAGTAAAGAAAGGTGCACTGTGTTCAACTCAAGTATTCTAGCAATGATTCAGGAAATCATCCCTTCCCCACCCCTCTCTGCCCTGTTTGGAAGTTTAACCACCTTCATTCAATTGGTTTTGGGTTTATTGCTCATCAGGGTAGAGAACATTAGCCCTATTCATTATACATTTGAAAACTCTTCAAAACCTTTAGGGGACAGACAGCCTGGGGATTCTATCTCATTTTACTGGTAGCTGAATTCAAACATAATAATATGAAGCCCGGAGAAAGAATTAGTTCATCAACATCATCATTACAGGGTTTTAGCATCACAGGATTTAGAGCTCAACAAAATCTTAGTAATCATCTGGTTGAATCCCTTCAGTTGACAGATAAGGAAACCAAACCCCAGGCAGATTAAATGACTTGCCTAAGATCAAATAAGTAATAAGAATCAGAGCAGAAATTTGGACCTAAATCTTCAGTCTTCGAAGCCACTTGTCTTTGCCCCTACACAAAACTACCTTCTTTCCTGAATCCCTAATGTATTAACTGATACTTACTGCACTTTTATGCCCAAGAATACCATCACCATCATTATTAGAATTTATTAAATTTAGTACACATAGTTGTTTAATGCAGAATCTTTGAAAAAAAATTACCATCTGGGCTTTGTTTGAGACCCTGAAGTCCTGATTCAAGCTACTTTTTGTATGGTAGAAAGAAGATACGTGATCAATCATAATGAGCTAAGCAAATCAGATTTTATCTGGAGTACTAGGTTCAGTTCTGAATATAAAGTTTCAAGATGGAAATTGACAAACTAGAGGGTATCTTATCTTATGTTGAAAATGACCAATTGGTACCATGTGGTGCCATAAAACAGAAGTAGGGAGAAGTAACTAGGAGGTGTATTTTGGCTCAATGTAAGGAAGAACTTAAAAGAAAGATGTATGAAAATGGAATGGTTGGCCTCAAGAGGTAGTAAGTTCTTTCATTACTTGGAATTCTCAAGTTCTCTCAAAAGCTGGAAAATCATTTGCTGGGTATATGTTGTTGAGGGGACTCATGTTTCAGGTGAGGATTGGATCAGATGACCTTTGGGGTCACTTCTAGCTCTAAGATTCTGAGATTGGTGGCTCAGGTTGAGATATAAAACTTACTAGTCACTAAATGTCTTTGTGGCTCAGGCTTAAAAACCAGTTGGAGTTTAAATTTTAATGGAAAGGGACTTTGGCCAGAAAAATCTTTCTGAGGGGCTGCTACTTTGGAAAGCAGAAACTTTTAAAAAGAGCAATAATAAGATGAGTTCAATTTCTTTTCCCCTTTCCCTTCACATATGGGATGATGATTACTGCACAATAGTGATCCTGCTGGCATAGATAGGTTTAAAACACAGTCAAATTACTTATAGAAAAAACTCCCTGATGAATTTAAATGTTCCATTCTACTAAACATTTCTTACAATTTTCTTCTAGAACATTATCCTGAAATGAATTTCATACGCATTTTAATAGTTTCATGAATGATGTCCAAAAAAGCCTTATTCTTCAAATGAAGCATTTCCCATCTCCCCCTTCCCCACTTAGAGGAATACTAACATGTTAGAGAAACATTTTCATATGTTCTTCATTTGTTAACAAAGAGGTCTGCTAGGATGCAGATGCTGAAGGTATTGTGTTTGAGTCTGCATTTATTAAATAAATGTCTTTTCCAGTATGTGGAATGAGAATCCCATCTTTTAAACTACTATCCTGTTCTGTACAGATCTCAGGAGGTGGATGAGACGAACTGGGGTCGAACCTCTCAAATATGCCATAATCAGTAGTTTTCAGACCTTCAAAAGTTGTTCCCAGTGACCCAACGCCAATGACAGTACAAAATGGCTTTTGCTCTGCTCCACTGACCCAGAACCCACTAGGTCTACTCACCAAGTCGTGGGGATGTGATGGTGTTGACATTGATCTTCTCGTTACAAGCCTCCTGGTGGCACTGTCGATAGGCTGCTGGCTTAGATAGGATGGGGCACTCGTTGCCGTGGCGCCCAGTAACTTTGTGCATGCACTGCACCACCCGAGACTGTAGGCCTTTTCCACATGTGGAGGAACACTGTCAGAAATAGGGACAACCTGATGAGATTTAACATCGTATAGATAGGACCAAGACCTCATAACAGCAACGCTCACTAGATTTTTCTCCTACAATCCACGTCAAGGTGTATGAAATAACTGGAGGGTGAGGGATGAATAGTTAGTTCCCAAGTATACTTGCGTGACACTTGCAGGGGCCAACCTGAATGGAGCCAGTTCTTAGGCATATCTTCTTTAACGTTGACTTTTTTTCCTCAAGAAAAACACATTATATTGCTTTTTCTTCTTTTTCACTCTGTATTAAAGTAATAGAGACTCTCTATGACAACATATACAACATTCTGTTCTTGTAGTCCCCTATCTCTATGCTGGGAGGGAGGAGGTATGTTGAATTATTAATTCTTTGAGATCTTCATTGGCTTCTTAGTTATTCAGAGTTAGACGTCCTTTTAGAGATCTTTGCATTTACGTTGTTGTAGTCATTTTGTATGTTGTTCTTTTGGTTCTGTTCTATTTCTCTTGACATCAATTTTCCCACATATTTTCAATTTCCTCATTTACTATTTCTTTCAGAACAGTAGGATCATACATTTAGGGCTCCAAGACACCTCACATGCTATCTAGTCTATTGTCTTCATTTTACAGGTGAAGAAACTGAGGCCCAGATGGAGGAGGTGACTTGTTCAAGGCTATACAAAGAGTGTCAAAGTAAGGGGTTTAAACCCAGATTCTTTGATGCCAAATTCAACATTATTTCCACTGTAGCTTTTTTTGGGGGGGGGTGCAGCTAGATGATGCTGGGCCTGGAGTCAAGAAGACCCAAGTTCAAATCTGGCCAAAGACACTTACTAGGTATGTGACCCTGGGCAAGCCCCTTAGCCCTATTTTGCCTCAGTCCTTCTGTAAAATGAACTGGAGAAGAGAAAGAAATGGCAAACCACTCCAGTATCTTTACTAAGAAAACCCCACAAGGTCACAAAGAGTTGGACCCAACTGAAATGACGGATGAAGATTTTTTTCAGCTGATCTTCAATTGTCAGACACATTGCTTAGAGTTTTTACTATCATAGTAAGTCCTGCTCTGAATATTTTGGTATTTATTGGACCCTTTTTGCTATCTTTTATTTCCTTTGTGTATATACGTAGTAGTGGTATTGCTAGGTCCAAGGTAATGGACATTTTGGTTATTTGTGTAATTCCAATTTTAAATATAGAATGTTTGGACCACTTCACAGTCCCCCTGATGGTACATTAGTGTCTCTGTCTTTCCATAGCCCTTACAACACTGATGAGTCCCATATTTTGTCATCTTTGCCAATTTGAATGATGTAGAGAAGAACCTCGAAGTTGTTTTAATTTCCATTTTTTAATAATATGAAGCATGAATTCATTTGCCAAGTACAGTTTGCAATTCTTTTTTTGAAAAAAAGTTTTTTTTGATCTCATTGGGGAATATGGTCCTTGGTGGTGTTATACATTTGTTTCAATTACTTGCTTATTTTGGATAACAGACTGACAGTGCCTTTTTAACGCAAATATTTTTCTCATGTTTTTTCTGTTTTTCTCCTAATTTTGTTTTTATTGACTTTGTAGAAAACCTTTTAAATTTTATCTAGTAAAAATTGCCTTTTATCTTTTATGATTTTCTGTACTCCTTGTTTTATTAGGAATTTTTCCCCAGTTATATTTGTGCAAAGGACCTGCTCTTGTTCAATTAATAAAATTTTTTTTATGGTATGAATTTTTATATTCAGGTAACATATGCATTTTGAGCTTATTGTGGTATGTGGCATAAGATGTTGGTCTATATTTAGTTTCAGCCAAACTGGTTTCTAGTTATCCTCAAAAATTTTTTTTTTCGGAAAGGGAGGCCTTGCTCCAGTAAGATATGTTGTAGGGTTTTGCAACTGTTTTGGATTATTTCTGTTTCTCATTTTTCTAGTTTATTTTTGTTGATGTACTTTTTTTTTTTTTTTAACGAGTACTGAATAGTTTTTTGACTATTGGTTTATACTACAGTTTGAGATCTGGTAATGATATGATCCCATACTTTTTTCCTCATTATTTCCCTTGAAATTCTAGATAAAATTAATTTTGTTATTTTGTCTAAAAAGTATCCCTTAGGCAGTTTGAGTGGCGTAGAACTAAGGATATTGTCCTTTTTATGATAGTGTTACAGCCCAAACACAAGCAGTGAATCTGCATTTAAGTCTCTCTTTCTTTTTGTAAAGACTTTTATTGTTCAGTTTTGTCTGACTCTTCATGATCCCATGGACCATATCATGCCAAACAGTCCATGGGGTTTTCTTGGCAAAGATACTGAAGAGGTTTGCTATTTCCTACTTCAGCGGATTAAGGCAGAGAGGTTAAGTGACTTGCTCAGAGTAACACAGTTAGTAAGGTCTGAGGCCCAATTTTAACTTAGCTTTTCCTGATTCCAGGTCCAGTATTGTATCCACTGAGCCACCCAGCTGCCTCTTAAAGACTTTTATAGTTGTATTTATATAAATCCTGTGTATGGCTTGGTAGGTTGGTGATCAGAAATATTATTCATTTCATTTGTTTTTAATGGAATTTTTACTACTATATTATTATAATTTCTTCCTAGTTTTAATTAGGGTTGTATTGCAATATTGATTTTTGTAGATTTATTTTGTATCTTGTTACATTTATGCATTATCTGGTATTTTTAAAGTATATCATCATGCCATCTGCATGCAAATAGGAATAATTTTATCTTGTTTGACTTCATAACTGATTTTGTTCTCATCTCATAGCTGTGGATAGCATTTCTAGAATGTTGTCAAATAATAATGGGGGAGAGGGGAATATTAGTTTTACCTTGTTTGTACTAGAAAAAACTTCGAGTGTTCTTCCATTGCAAACAATGCTACATCTTGGATTTAGTTATTTGTTTTTGATCATATTAAAGAAGGATCCTTTTATATCTATGCTTTTTTAAGTGTTTTTTCTTTTAAACACATGAATGCTGTATTTTGTCTAAGGCTTTTTTTTTGCATCCATTAAAATAATCGTTATTTTTGTTAATTGTGTGATTAATGGTGCTAATTGTTTCCTACTGTTAAATGTTCTTATATCCTTGGTATGAATCTAACTTCGTCATAGTAAATATATTTTTTTTAAATTTACTTCTGTAGTATCTTAGGTGGCATAGTAGATATAGCAATGGCCTTGGGTTCAGGAAGACCTGAATTAAAATCTAACCTCAGAACCGTACTAATGTCGTAACCCTGGACAAGGCACTTCATCTTCTGTGCTTCAATTTCTTCATCTTAAATGTGGAGGTAATATTTGCCTATGGTAGTTATGAGGATCAAATTAAATAATAAATGTAATGCACTTTGCAAACCTTAAAGTGCTATATAAGGTTTTAGTTTTACTATTATGTTAGCCATTATTATTATTTTATTTGAAATGTCACCATCAATACTCATCATCAAGAATGATCTAAAAGTTCTCTTTCTCAGCTTTATCTCTCCTTTTTTTGGGATCAGAGCCATATTTGTCCCATAAAAAGTATGGTTGAGTGCGTTCTATCTATTTTTGAGAGTAATTTTTGTAGCATAGGTTTTGATTATTCTTTGAATTTTGATAGAATTTAAAATCCATCGAGCTTTATTATTTTGTTAATTTTGACATTTTATGTCTGTAGATATTTAGAGAGGGATATTAAAACATATAGTGGAATATTAAAATATTTAACTATTATTGTATTATTAATATTTTTTGCCTAACTTTACTTTTAATAACTTAGGTGCTATGTCATTTGGTGCATATGAAGTTAATCATTTTATTTTTCATTGATTATGCTTTAATATAATTTAAGCAGAATATAATTTCTTAATTTGTCTCTCTTGAAATTTCTCAATTTTTTAGTGTTGTCTTATTAGATATCATGATGTTAATTCTTGCTTTTATTGTCCCATGAAGCAAAATAGATTTTGTTCAATTCCCTTATTTGTATTCTACATATTTTCACTTTTCTTGCATGCAGCAAATCATTGGGGCTTGTTTTCTTCTTCATTATTCTATTCCTTTTAGAATTTAATCTATTCACATTTATAATTAAAATTGTTAAGGATGTACATTCTTCTAGTAACCACATATACATATGCATGTGTGTATGTTTCTGCCATTTGTTTGGCTTACATTAGCCTGAAACCATTCTATTTCCCCCACTTTCTTCTTCTTCCAGTTACCCTGGCTCATGTCTAAGCTTATGTGGGTTTACTTTTATTATTATTCTCTGTCCTTCTCTTTCCTCCCCCTCTCCTAGCTTAGGTAACCTAATACTTTTTGCTCCGCTTTGTTCTCCTACCTTCCCACCATCCATTTTCCTATTTCGCTGACATTAATTTTTCATGCCCCTTTCTGAGAAGTGTTGTACCTTCTACGCCCTTCAGGAAGATTTCAAATGAAAAATTTATTATTTCTGCCTCCAAGGTTGTCTTTTAAAAATCTTTCCCTTTTGCTCCACAGGATCAGAGATTTAGAGCTGGAAGAGATCATAGAGGCCATTATATCTAATCTCTCATCTTACAAATGAAGGAATTGAGGTTGGGGATCATACAGTTAATAAGTGGCTGAAACAGGATTTAAACTCTGGTATTCCTGAATCCGTGCTTAGTGTTCTCCACTGTTCTGTAACCTAGCTGCCTTAGTTTCTTTTAATTCAATTTAATTAAAGAAATATTTATTAAAAACTTATGTGGAAGGCACCGAGGTATACAAAGATAACTAAGATGTGATTCCTCCACAAAAGGAGTCTACAATCTAGTAGAAAATATGAAACTTACATACAAAAACTAGAGCAAGAGAGAATTTACAATGAGTGACTGCTTCTAACTAGAGTGAGGGGTAAGATAAAGCTTTACTAAAAAAAAGATGGCATTCCAGTTGGTCCTTAAAGAGTGGATAGAATTTCTATAGGCGGAGGTGGGAATAGAGTACATTTAAGGTATAAGGAACAGCTACAGCAAATACGTGGTGCTCGGAAAA